GTATACAGAATTTTTGTTGGTAAACCTGAAGCAAAAACACCACCTGGAGGATCTTGTTGTAGATGGGAGCTTCATATTAAGATGAATCACAGATAAATAGTGTGAAAGTGTGTAGAGTTTATTAACCTAATTCAGGACAGGAACAGTCATGGGCTCTTGTGAATATGGTAATGAATCTTTGGATTCCATAAATTGAGAGGGCTCACTGATGTCAATTAGCTTCATGGAGCTGGTAACAGTTACAGGTTTGTAAATAACAGTCGTTGAGAAGATGCTCTATATTTTAAATAGCCTCTGTTGATAAGCATAATGTGAAGCTCATTCTTTTAAAAATGTGGTTAAGTGAAAGACAAACTCACCCCTAACAAACATCAGGATAGTTTTGGCTTCTTCAGTTTGCACATCATCTCCTTCATGCTGTGAGCACCAATTATCTTGGTACCCTTCACCTATTAACCATGAACTACAACTTTCTCCAGGGTACAGTTGCACAAACCAAAAATCCATGCTCATTCACATTCCAGATGAGCTCCTGGCCCTTGAAAGCCAGGCCAACGAGTATGATGTCAGCCCTGTAATAGTGATGCACAGTGATGGGAGGTAACCACAAATGCTGCACAGAAACATCTCACAAAATACTGATATGTTGGGATTTTGGACTTTATCCATTGTCCTGGTTTTTAAGATAACAAATAAAAACACGACGTTTCAGAAACTGGATCTGTTTCCGTCCTCAGGTGAAGGAAAACACCTATTCAGTTGGGTCCCTTAGAAAGAGCTAGCCTCAATCACTGGATAAAGTCCAAAATCCCAACATATCAGTGTGTTATATACCATCGTCAGAATCCTATAGTAACTATCTCACAAAATACATAACACCACAAACCCAAAACCTCCAAGCTGCATATCTGCCAAGCCTGCTTCATACATGGTTTGGGCCTTGGCTCAGAACCCAGCTCTCCCAAGGTAATTTGGCGTTTTCCTCATTGCCACCAATTAATTTCATGAATCCAAAACTGTTTCCTTCCACATCCTTTCCAGTCATTCATGATCATATCACCATTCAATTCTGTAGTTGTAAACTCTTTAAATAACTAGACAAAAATGAAAAGTCAACATAATAAAATCCCAAGTGATATCACTTCATATTCTTCTTTAAAATTTTTCTCATGTAAATCTTTCTCATCCCATACACCAACTTCATCTACCCAGTTTCTGCACTACTGAACACTTGTATTCAATTTTTAAACATGTTTCCTTATTTCCTTCTGCTTGCACTTTTCTCTTTTTTTTCCCCCCCTACTGAGAAACCCTCTTCATGGCCATTGGTTCCTTTATTGCCAACTTATAGCTACAGCCCTATCCACGTCCTATCTTTCCACCTACTACATACCATTCTGCCAACTGGCTCACTGTTCCTACGGTTCCTACTCTGAAGATGGCAGCAGCTGGAACCTCTCTAACACTATCTACCAGACTATACGGCATCACATCTAATAAGACTGTAGGCTTCTTACTAATTGCCGTGGAAACCTTTCTCAGTCTGGCAGCTGGTTACCAGTGCTTCACAGAAACATTCCATCAACATTTCTTGGCATTAGTCTGCCAAGTAGGAAATTCACAGGTGGTCAAGACCGTCAAGACAGTCAAGACAGTGCTCATGGCGAACAATTGTTCTCCAGACTCTTTCCCTCACTTATATAACCTTTCAAAATTATAACTGCCGTTTTAAACTGAAAAGATTTCACAATTACAAACTTTTCAATTTAAAATCCCTAAATTCACTTGGGCACTGCTTCACATTCCTAAACACCTCTCACGTACATGATCATTCTAATTGGAGAATATATGGATCGTCACCGCTCCTCATATCCTGCCTGAAACGACACGCACAACTAAATACGGATTACTAGGGCCCGGATTTCTATGACATGTCATATTTTTTTTCCTAGGGTTTATTCCTATTTTTAAATGTAATTATGCATGTTTCCAGTCATTCTTATTGAAATTATGTCGTTTTTATTGTGCATATAAATGCATATTTTAGAGTTTTATTGGTTTTACAGCATATTTTGGCATAATTTTGAAATAAGGTCATATTTTTGTCATTTTAAAAACAATTCTTTGATATAATGTAAAATTTCGGCTCCATAATGTTTAGTATTACAAAATAAATTTCAGGCTGGACTGTTGCTTCAATGTGGAATAGAGTTCAAGTACATGAAGTTCGTATTAAAAACCATATTTTTGACTGGACTGTACTAGCAGTTACAAAGGCGAAAATTTGTGAAATGCAGCATTTATGACCTGGCAAGCCGGCATTTCCCAGTTGAGGCAGGGGGGAGGCAAGTGTGGCAAGTGTAACGGGTATTCTCCTATTGTACTCCGTCTTACTATAAGGTATATACATCCCATTTTTCCTTGGAGGGCTTAGAAGTATTCTATTTATATATGTGGAGGGCGTTATAAGACTTCAGTTTGACTTTACAATGCCTGTACAGGAGTTTGGTGAAAAAGCGTTTAGTACCAATGGCAAGATATTTTATTGTAAGTTGTGTGGCGTGAAAGTTACAGCAGAAAAGCGATTTACTGTGCAGCAGCATTGTAAAACTTTTAAACATGGTAAATGTTTAAGCAGATTATCTACAAAGGATAGCAGACAAAGTTTGTTGTTTAAAAACAGTTCCACTAATTCTTCTTCTTCTTCTTCTCCTTCACCTTCTTCAACGAACAATTCATCGGAATTTTCGAAGGATTTGTGTCAGTGGATGGTATCTTCGAATATTCCATTAGAGAAATTGCATAATCAGCACTTCAGACAATTTTTGGAGACATACACTAGTCATCCTATCCCAAGTGAATCGACGTTA